ATAAACTACTTAGAATGTCGTATGTTCTAAGTAGTTTAATTATTAAACGAATTAACCTGGCCTTTAACATGTTTAAGCTTCATCTTGTCTATTATCTCATTGTCACATTGTATTGTAGTTACATGACATTTTCGTGATCTTTTCGGTTGGGTTTTTTGTGCGAGCATTTAGCCTCGCGTTTCTTATTTGTGGTCCACTTTATTTAGGATATTTCTCCGTCTTTTGACGACGGTTGTTTCGGCTTAAGAAAGGGCACATCCGCCGCGCCTGTCCCTGCGACCAATTGTTTGTGATTACGGCACCAACTGCGGGTCCCTCGAGCTTCGTCCTTTTTAGTAGACAAAAGGAAGAATCTCGTAACCAATGCACCGTACTAAATTGACAGATAAGAAACATATAGTCCTTGGAAAGTACGAGAAAGTTCTGGATTTTTACTATGTAAATATCAAAAGCTTGCAAATAACGATAAAGGTTGGTTATGTTGAATAAGAAAAATGTGGTTTGATCAAATGAAAATTTCTTTTGCGATTGATTGGAAAGTTTCCTAAATTTTGTTGTAACTGTACCACTTAGCTACGCATCTCACAGCAACCCTCCGTAACAGGATGACGCGTCCCGCTTTCTGCCGGGTGCAAAAGACGACCATGTCGCGTCACTTCTACCTGCGCCCCGCGGCAGGGAGTCGCGATCGTTGGAGCCGTAGAACCCCCAAAAACGTTCCTAGAATCGGCCTCTTCTTCGTTAACGAGGCGACAAACTCATCGAAAATGACCGATCCAGATTTTCCCTATCTTATCTTTACTAGGACAATAACAAAACTCTCACAATAAACATAACAAAACACATCATGAAACACATATGAGCCTCTTCGGTCGAACGTAAAGTTAAACCGAGTGTAAAGGTAAAGATAGGGGGCGAAGGGCTGCGTAAGGGCACGACAGTGACCGTGAAAGCGTGGCAACAAAGTCTGCTATATTTACAGACGGAGAGAGTTCAAAGTTATGAATTGTGGAATCCCAGCCGAGCGCCCCAACTTCAAAAACTGGGGCAAACTTGTTGAGCACTGTCAGCTCTGAGATTACTCTGCTATTCGAGATAATAATCTGTTGGCATCCATGATACGAACTCTGAAGGGCGACCTACTTCACGTGTTTTCCCTTTTCAATTTAAACCGTTATATTTTTCCCCAACAACTTATTAACTTTCCTCATTAATCTATTGCGGTTTATCTTTAATCATACATAATATTATTATCGTAAGACTATTAAATGTATTTTTACCGCGAGCCAATCCATCGAATGAAATATTTAAATCGCCCCGGCTCAAATACACAACGAACGTTGAAACGTGCCAGGATAAACCGACTACAATTTTAATGTGCCAAACGCTCAGAATAACAAATATAATCGATTTTCGAAACTGTGCGAGTAAATCGTTGCAATTTTCATCATTTTTTTAACAAGAAGAATACAATCACATATACAACGTTAATTAAGCTCTCATAACAAATTCCAAACTGGGGGAGGACGATACCATGAAAGGGGTTATTGTATATCTGTTGCCGGTCGACTAATATCCGAAATTTGCTTATAATGCGGTTAATTGCACATTACTGTCGCTTAGAGTGAGTTCGCAAGAGCTGTTAGTTTGAAATCAATTATTCCAGATTATACGTTAATACCCATTATTATTATATCATTGATATGAATTAACTACATTGGCGGATGCGCTGGTTTTTTACAATTCGTTTTGATTCCTTTTTTGTAAATAAAATTGTTTCATTATTGTTTTATTTGCTCGTTTTTGTGAGTACGTTTTTGGGTTTCAATTTGTTGAAATTCTAACGGGTGCGACCACCATGCAGCTGCCCACGTGTTCGTGGCACAAAGAGGCGACGCAAGTGGAAGGGAAAAAATAACGCCATCCGGGTAGGAACGCGGTCGGGGAATCGCGAACCCTACAGCGAGGGACAACACGACAAAAAAAAATAGCCATGGCACTTCCTCTGTATGAAGACTTGGTGAATGAACGCGAACAAACGGTTAGATCGGCTGCCGAGCCATGGATGTTAGAAATGCCCGGTGAATATTTAAACAAATTAATTTATTTTCCTTATTAACAACTACATTTTTGTTTTCGATTAGATAATAAAGTTACATTGAGATGTATTTAACGGTGTAGTAACGGTTTATCCCGAAAAATTAAACGTTATTTATAAGTGGTGGCTAACTATCAGAACTCGCGCCCATAAATACTAACCGCAGCGTCGCGTCGCGGTGGAAGTGTCGTAAATCAGCCGTAATTGCAGGCAGCCGCAGTGCCCGATGGCCATACTTGCGCAAGAAACGTTGCAAGAAGCCTGTAAAAGTCCGGTTCTATTTTACGAACTCCAATTCAACGTTGTCAGTAGTTAAGTAATAGCGCTTCCCGAATATCCGACCTACAATGCAAGGCTTTAATTAGACTGTGTTTCTTTATTTTTGACCTAATTTATTTAAACCATTTGCATCATTCAGAAAAAAATGAAAGTGACCAAAATACACCAAATTTGTTTTATTATATACAGGTGATTCACTTATAATAAATAAAGCAGACTTCAGCGTTCTACCAGTAGACAAAGAACCTACATTAATTAAAGTACCAGTCAAAAATGCCATGGATAGTTTATCATTCCAGAATTAGTATTATCGATATAGTTTAATTCGAGGGGAAAGTTCTACAAGCAATGTGAAGGAACAGCCATGGGATCACCTTCGTGATCTGGCATTATGGAAAACAGCGATTCTAGAAGTACCTAGACTACCTGAACTCGCAACACTTCTTGATCAAATTTATCATGGAAAATGGAAACGGAAACTGATAAACAGTTACCTTTCCTGGATATATTAGTCACTAAGAAGACAGAACTAAAAACATTCGGGTTTAACCGTCTTGAGAGATGCACGGCTAAAACACTGGAATATTTCTAGCTCTAGGTCTATTGTTAGCTAGCCTTTAATTTTGGGAGGGGTAATCCTTAGAACAGAGTGGAGATGGTTTCCATTAAGGCCTGATAGTTAACAACCCAACACACAGGCAAACTTACACAATTTTACAATTTTTTAGGGAACAAAGATCATGTAAACTAAGACAAATGATACATTAGTTATACAATTAAGTACTAACAATAAGACTAAACCAGCAGACTAAACTTCTTAATGCTAAAAACTGCTTTCAGCAGATGCGACAATTATCAGCAAAGTTAAAATGATTTGTAAAATCTTTTGATTGTTGAAACATGTTTCCATCACAATGTTGATAGGAATTAGCAAGTGTTTTGTCAATACTATTTATGGTGTTTTTGTATTTATTTATATATATGTTACAGACCATATATGTAAACAAGACCGTATACAAAAGGACCAGTCCATATGTAAATGGACTGAAATTATTAGTCTATATGTGTAAGAAGCTTGTTCTTTAATAAACGGACTAGTCGGTTTGAAAAAGGACTAGTCTATTTATAAACGGTCCATCTGCAAATAGACGATATACATATTACTGTAATATTTTAAACAAAGAAAAAAATGCATTTTTTATTTATTTGTACAAGTTAGACTATTGTGACATTTTGAGTTATATAATACATTATTTTTTCGACAAGCACATTTGTTTCACTGACATTTAGTCTTACAGTAACATTTTTTGAAACCTTGCCCATGCCCAGTAGATTGACTTGTAGCCACCGATCTAAGAGAAACTTCCTTATCTTTGGTGATTTCTTCAATTTTCAAAATGTTAGCAGGACATATACTATATTCTGAACGACTGTAGTATTTTGAAATGACTCCTAGTTTTGTACCCAAGCGGTAAAAACCATCTTCTGTAGCTTCAAACACTACCGCTAAAACTGACCGAGCATCTCCCCTGCCACAATCGACATCTGGAACAGGAATCCTCACAGTTGATCCAATCTGTGGTTTTGGATGGGTGCTATCTGATATTAATTTCATTCGTTTTGCCTGTGCTTGTAATCCATCATAAGCGCCCTTTCTGGCATTTGCTATGTTTCTATTGCAAAAATTGCAAATATTTTCCAAGGACGTGCTCTCAGCATGCGAGGCATCACGATTAGTGGGATTGAAAGAACTACCGCATATTTCATACGAGAGTGTTTGAGTGTTATTGTTATTTTCTAGTGGTACATTTTCGGTCGTTGCTGTTTGGTGCAATTGGGATTGTCCGGTTTGTGTGTTGTTACTAACAACCAACGTAACCACTTCTTCTAAATCTTTGTCTGTTGAAACACCTTCCAGCGCTGGTTGCTCTGTTTCCAGTTGAACGGTTTCTGTGTTTTCAATCAGAATAGAATTAATCACATTTTCCAGATCTTCTTCGGTTGTTACGCTATCCATTGCTTCTAATGGAATATTAGAAGTTTTTAATCCAATTTTCGGTTTGTCCCCGAACATGGACTCATATGGAGCCCTTTTTATTCTAGAGTGGAAAGATGTGTTCTTCATAAATTGTATAAATCGTAGACCTTGACTCCAATGCTCTGTTTCGTTTTCCAACATCGAAGTTGTTAACATGTTCTCCACGTCTTGATTAGCGCGTTCGACGCTACCCTGACTTTGACTGTGACGCGGTTTTCCATGGACCAGATTTAGTTCAGGCCACAAACTTTTTAATTCTTCAATAATTCTATTGCAAAATTCGCGTCCATTGTCAGATTGCAAAACTACAGGAGCCCCAAAAGTGGTAAAGATGTCTACAAGGTGGTAAGCGACTTCTTCTGCGCGTTTACTTTCAAGTGGTCGCAGAATAACAAATTTTGTTAAGTGATCCTGGTACACCAGGACAAATCTGTATTTACCATCAGCATGCGACTGATAATCGATTAAGTCTACTTGACATCTGGAATTCAGATCATTGAAGATCATCGGTTTTGATATAATTCCCTTCTTTTCCCTTTTTTGTTTCATTTGACATGGAGCGCACAAGTTAAACAATAAAATTTCAGTACGCACTATATTCTTGTATTTTTCCTTTGTTTTTTTCATCATGCGATCTCTACCACCATGACCTGCAAGTAAAAAGTGATTTTATTAATTACCTACTCCATATATGACTCCAATTGCAGAACATACCTGTGGATGTGTGTAGTTCTTGAAGAATGTTAAACAACTCTTAAGAGGCACTATCAGTTTTTCTACCCCCTGAACAGATAACACATCATAATGCTTTAAGAGCCAGTGTATTCTTGGACTTTTTTTTTTAGCAGCCTTAGCAATTTTTACTTCTTCAATGAGACTACTATATTTTTCTCTCGTTAAGCCACGGTTGTTATCGGCAACGTCTTTTCTTCGTTCATACAGTTGTTCATAAAACCTATTTTATTTTTTTAATTTTAGGTTATATTACTATGTAACAAGTAACTATAATATTAACGTACCTTTGTTTGTGTAATTCCATTGTGGAAATCTATTGCATTAAACAGTGCTTATTTTGCTGCAAAATATTTTGTAAATTGGAGCAAAACGAGACAAAAACTAAACGGCAACTAGACACTTGCGATTGAACATACAGTCTAAATTACGGTAGTCCGTATGTAAATGGTCTAGTCCGTATATAAAATACCTCGTCATTTCCATACGGTCTGTGCCATCTAGACCGTATAGATACCACCTAGACCGTATACTTACGGTCTGATATCATGTACGGCCTGTAACATATACATAAATCAATTTCTGAATTGAAATTGCCAGCCAAAGTCAATTCATCAGTATTTTCAACGCGACTTAAATATTTAGAAAACATTTCAACCACTTTTTCTTTTTGAATATCAGATCCTGTTGTGAAACGAAATTGTAAATCTTCAATAACATTGTCTAATAATGGTATATACGTAGTTATTCAGGGTGTGACAGAATGACTTAATACAAACATACAAGAAAAATGTTTTTATTTCTAAAAAGTACACATAATGCAGTTTTAGATTAACTTGTTTTAAAAATAGCATCACTTAAGTGGCGGCCTTCATTGGTGTACACTGATCTAGTCTATTCCGATAGTTTTCCTTGATCCTGTTACTTCAGGTGGTATTTCAACAACTTCTTAGGCTATTACTTCTTTATGAGCATTTCAGGCAGCCCCATAGAAAAAAATCACAGGAAGTCAAATCAGGAGACCACCCAATGTACCACGCAAGGAGATAAGATGCCCAAGAAACATTTTTCTTAAAATTTCGTAAGTTCGACAAGATGTATGAGATGTCGTACCATCTTGTTGGAATCATACATTTTCCTGTCCAAACACTGTAACCTTAGAACTGTGTAGTGGTCGTCGGTGAAGTTGCCGAGGGTTATTCTCTGCCCAATATCTGAAATGTTGTTTATCGACCATGTCTGAAAGGTGGAAATGGCCTTCATTCGTAAAGAGCACAATATTACCGAGGGGAATATTTTGAAGTTCTTGACACAAAGTTGTGCGGGTGTCATTATCTTTTTCGTTCACTTCTTGTGAAATCACAATTTTGTAAGAGTGCATTTTCAGTTCTCGGTGCAAAATTCTCCGAACACGGGCAGCCGCATGTTTTCGTGCTGAATGCTGTGGAGATTGATTAACCGTAGCTCGCACAGCAGCCACATTTTTCGGCCCTGTTGCAGTTCGAGGACGGTCAGTAGATTTACATTTTAATGCACTACTTGTTTGTAAAGCCTGTCGCCCAATTGCGAATTGGGGATCGTGTGGGAGGTCATTCTGCCGCACCCCGTATAATAATCTTGACAATTGTCTACTTGGGGATTATTTCTTTTTCTATGAGCATAAGTTAAACAAGGCTTTGGTAGAGCAATTCCAAGAACTTCAGCTATTTTATTAATAATTTCAAATGATTTTGCAAAATCTTCGCAAGCATTTGCTCTTTTTGTTTTTACTGTACCAATTACCTTAAAAATTATTAAAAATGGTTAACTTCTTACCTCATTGTAGCATTCTCGAAGACTATTCCATGCGCCGAATATGAGGGCCTCAACTTGGGGAATTTCTTTTAGAGCTGTTCACTTGTGCTGCGCAATGTCCATGCTTTTCTGGAGTTCCAACTCTTCCAACTTGCTTTTGAGTTCTGTGAACTTTCCACTCCACAAGTCTTTGGTTTTCAAATCTAGCAATTGTGTTTGAAGCGATCCAGCATCAATTGCAAATGGCTCAATATTCATCTCATTTGTATTTGTGTTGAGAGGGATTACTATGAATGCGAGAGTACTTTTGTTTGTTTTGAATTGCTCGAATCTCTCAGTGAATCCATCCTTCATGTTTTTTAAAGCTATGCTGACGTAATTCGCGTTAATAGTTGTATAGGTCTCATCGCGATATTGCTTCAGATTTTTAAAATGAAGTAATTTACCGCTCTCCATGTCTTCAATAATGAGAAGTATTTTTTTCGGAACAAACTAGTTCTTCAAGCAAAGCGTAGGCTGGGTTGCCCTTTCCTTGTAGTTTTAGATTTAGTTCATTTAGTTTCATTGTGGTATTTACCATGAAGTTGAAGTTTTGCAGCCATTTATCTTCTACCAATTCGGGATGGTTAATGCTTTTTTCACGGAGGAATGTTTTTATTTCACTCAAGCACAAAGCAAAACGTTGCAATACGTTACCTCTGGAAAGCCATCGCACTTTATTGTGTAAGTAGGTCAGAAAACTGGCTATTTATTTCTTCAAGGAAATCTTTAAACTGGCGATGGTAGAGTGGTTTTGCCAAGATGCTGTTAATAATTTTAACTACTAAGTTCGTGACCTCAACTATTTCGGCCGGAAATATTTGGGCACAAAGTGCTTCTTGATGAATTATGCAGTGAAACGTTAGAATTTCATGGTTAATTTTTTTCTGAAGAATTAATGTTACCCCTCTATGTATTCAGGATTTCTTATTATAGTCGTACTCTACTTCTAACGATTTTATTCCTTTAAAGCACACTAGCTTTTTACTATTACTAAAACTTTTAGTTTTTCTTTTTCAGTCATGACACTACTACAGTTATCTTTTCTTTACTGTTTTTACCACCAAAACATTTATCATCTTTAAACGCCAATGTTTTATTGGGAAGATATTTATAAAAAAGTCCACATTTGTCCATATTAACCACACCATCATGCTGATAATTTTTCAATATTGACAGCAATTTGGCTTTCCATTGATCGCAACTGAACTTGCCAAATCCTGAACTTGAAAATTATCAACACCTAACATTTTTGCCTATTCAATTACTTTTTCTTTAATAAATAGTCCTGAGACCGGCACATTTTGGCTCCGCATCATTGTTACCCACTTTAGCACTGCTTCGTCTATAGAATTAATCTCGCACTGTTTTAACTTTTTTCTTCCTTCTTCCCCAGCTTTTCCACTTTTTAAAACTGTTCTCCGATTTTTTATTATTGTCAAGAGAGTACTTGGAGGAATCCTTTGCTTTTGCGCTACAAGTTTTTTCTGCATGTCATGGTCGAAATCCTTTAAAATGTTAATTTTGTCATAGACACTTAAAGCCTTTCACTTAAACATCGCGAAAAATGAAATTACAGTAAAAGTTCTATCTCTACTAAACGCTGCCGCGCCGATCAGTTGCCGATGCAGAAATATAAAAGGACGTTTACACAGCGTTGCTCTTACTTAGTAAGACAAAGGCGCCAGATTCCATATACATGATAAACAAACTGGACGTCGGCTGTGGAAAATTGTAGTTCGTTATATTTATACAGGGTGATTTATAACATACGGAGCAGACTAAAAGGGTAGGTACTAGAGGTAAAACTGAAGAGATTTTTTTAATAATGTTTTGTTAAAAACTTAATAGTTACATAGATATCGCATGTTAATTTTTTAAATAATTTAATGTACATTTTTGAGAACCGCTGATATTCAGTAAAGAACAATTAGAATACTTGTCAACGCCACATCTCCATTTTTGAAGGAGCTGTAAAACTAGACAATTTATTGTTTCAGTAGTTTTGTTATTTTTGATAATACGTAATTTGTTAAAAGAAATAATAGATGTTAATTTATGAAACGTCTAATAATAATGTTTTAAATGCAAAATTACAAAACCTCTAAAACAATTATTTAGCTACCCTAAAATTGCAGCCGCAAAGAATAATCAGCGGGAGTCAGTCCTTGCACCTTTTGCAAATGGTAGGGGTATAAACCATTACTTTTCAATATACGCCAAACAAAGTTCTGGGAAACTTCGAGTTGGTGAGAAATTTGACGAGTACTAGTACTTGCATCTGCATCAACAATTTCTAGCACTTCTACATTCACTCCATATCTGTTTGGTCTACCGCCACCAAGACCTTTCTTCGGTTGTCTCTCTTCCCCGCTGAACTAACCGAAGAAAAGTATTTTCTGAAGGCATCTGTCGATTTGGAAATTATTTCAAATACAGATCTCTTGCATGTGCAGCGTTTTCTCCAGCAGCTCCATAAACAATAAGCACATCTACATATTCCTCGTTACTGTAATGTGCCATTGTACTTATTGATTTGTAATAATTCTAATTTTGTTTATGGAAGGACTTCTTTCAACTGCATTTAAAACTGCTTCAGATAGCATAAAAATCATTAATTTATCAAACGTTAAATCGTCAAGACTAACTATCACTTTTCTTAATTCCTTCGACATCTCCGAAATAAAGAGGAATTCACCTATAAGTGATATACCATTTTTTGATCGTAATGACCCTCGGAATACATGGTAGAAGTTTGTCGGTCGAGTACGGAACACCCTGTATATTGTAAGAAATGCTCGGCCATTAATTCAACTTTAACGTTCTATATCTTTGTGATTATTATGTTGTGGTCAAAACATTATTAAGAAAATATCTTTAATTTAGTACCTACCCTTTTAGTCTGCTCCGTATGTTATAAATCAGCCTGTATAGAACATTTTTTCGTTATGTAGAAACTTAGAGATCTTCTCTGCATATGTGGTATCACTAGTTCCTTGGCTAAATCTTTCAAAAACATTTTGCGTTTGTGAGTCACTCCTATGTTGTAGTTTGGGTGTTCCTTCGTAAAGACTATAGATGCATTGAGTGCAGCAACATCAATGATGTTGAAGAAAAATGTGATGGGCCATCGCCCTTTGTTTTATTATAATGAGAAATGATTTCAGACTTCCTCTTAGCGTCGACATTGATAGGTGTTTGGACATTGATGCGTCGTGGTGTATGGTGCTTAGTAAAATTACGCATTTGTTCTTTTTACGTGCGTAACTTACCATGGATACGTTATTTTGAAAACAAAACAATGAAGAGTACACTACACGATCTTTTGAGGCTTTCATTTCTTTCGGAATGTCACGCTTATTCTGACGTAGTGTACCCACAACAGTAATATTTTTATCCAACAGATAAGTTGCTAGCGGAACACTAGTGAAGAAATTGTCTATCGTGAGATTGCGACCAGAATTATAAATGCCATGCACAAGAGTTTGTACTACTTCAAGCCCCAAGTTTTTATGTGGAGGTTCTTCGGGCTGGCGACCAACGTAAACTAAACCATCCAAAGCATAACCAGACGTAGATTCACACATCCAAAATATTTAAAGTCCATATTTTACCGGTTTACTTGGCATATATTATATACCTCTAAACCCAACGAGTTGTTCATCAATAGTTACATTAGTATCAGGTATGACGCAGGTTTTGCATTGCTGA